AAATAGTAAAAGCTATACTTAGTAATAATATAAACAAATATCGTATTTATTAGCACTCTCATATATAAAAAAAAAACTAAAATAGAACGGTATTAAACCAAGCTCTATATTATTTTAGAAATTAAATTATATTATTAAAAAAAATATACCCTTTATATAATAATAAATAAGTTACTTATAACCTTATAATACCCCCCGATAGAGCAATTTACTAAGGCCGTATTATATATTACGTATTAAGGAAAACTAAATATAATACGCTCTATACTTAATTACTAACTAAAATAGCTCCTAACCTTCTACTACCTACCTATAGGGCGAGCTTTACTTATTTTAATACGCATAAAACCTCTTAGTATTAGCCTATATAAATAGCTAAGTTTAGTATAATTTCTTTTTTTATATAAATATTATCGTTACTTAGGGGGTCTTATAAGAGCTATTTAAAGCGCTAGCTTATTATTTTAACTTTATATACTTCTAATACGTTTATTATAATTATTATAGCTAGGCTAGTATTAATTTATTAGATCTTAATATCTATATTAGTTTAATTATTTATAATATTTATAATATTACTTAGCTAAATTCTATATTATTAAAAAGTACTTTACTATTCCTTAGGTATATTTATATTAATTATAATAGTTATAGTATAAAGCTAGCTAAAGAGGGCGCCTAGCCCGAGAGGGGTAAACTTATTAATAAGTATTTTTAAAATAGGTTTTTATTAAAATAGTATTTTAACTAGCTAACTTCTTAACTAGTTATTTAATTAGTTATTTAAGTAGTAGTTTATATATTAATAGGTTTATTTAATAAATTTATTTAGTTTAAATAGAGGTTAGTTTAAATAGAGGTTAGTTTAAATAGAGAGTAGCTTTAAGTAATATTAAAAGCGATAAGAATAAAAAGAATTTTTACGAGCTTTAGTATAAGTAATAAATATTAACCTATTTAGCCCTTTTTTTAAAAACTTTTATATTATTATTAAAGTTTAGAACTTCTATAGTTAAGGGCCGCCTTTATTTATTATAGCTAATTATTATAACTAATTATTATAGCCGACCTCTATTATTAACCTTTTTAATTACTACTACTACGTAACGAAGAGGGTAGCTTATTTATCCCGAATTAAATAGCGGTTTTCGTATCGAAATTATTATATTATATTAAGCGCGTACTTAGGATATATTACGTATATTATATAATTAAAAAGTATATTATATTATATAATTTCTTTTTAAAACGTAATCCCGTTAAGGTCGATCTTTTATACTTATAAAGTTAAAAATAAACTATTATATAACTTTATAATAATAAAGTTATTAAAGTATTTACGGCTCTAAACTAATATTTTTAATAAAACGGCTAGTAATATCATAATACTTCATAAACTATATCATTATAAAATTAAACCTCTATATAGTAATAAAGAGAAGCTAACTTAATACTTTTTATATAAATAGTTAGTATTTAAATTAGAAGTTATAAAACCTTATTTAATAAAATACTTATAAAAGGGATTTATTAAGCTAAGTAATATTCTTTTTATATTATGAACGCTATTTATAAAAAAGTACAATAATAGTTTACGCTTTTATATTAATTTCTATAAACTTATCAAGATTATAAAAAAAGACTACTATTTATTATTACTTATTAATAAGACCCTTACGTAGTTAAGTAAAACAAAAGTATTTATTAAACTAAATATTAAATAAGCTTTTTTATTATATCTAACTTAACTTAGTTTTTAGAGATTTAATAGTATTTAGAACTTATTACGGGGTACATAAATATAAAACAATACTTGCCGCCTCCGACCTTTGCGGCCGACCTTTGCCGTCGACCTTTCCGGCCGGCGCCGCCGCGTGAGTATGTCGCTTAGCCTGTCAGGGCAGCTTGCCTATCCCGAATTGTATGGCGGTTTTCGTATCGAAATTACTATATTGCGTTAAGCGCGTGCTTAGGGTATATTGTGCGTATTATATAGTTAAAAAGTGTACCGTATCGTATAATTTCCCTTAAAAGCGTAATCCTATTAAGGTCGATCTTTTGCGCCTGTAAAGCCGGAAAAAAACCACTACATAAAACAATACTTTTTAAGCTTTATAATAAGCTTATTATATATTAATAGTATATAAATAAGATATTAATAAAGGACTTAAATAACTTCTATATAACGTATATAAATAATATCCTAATCTTTTTCAATAACCCCCTTTAATACTAAAAACACGTTATTAAAATATTTAACTATTTATAAAAAGTAGGCTTATAAGTAGATATTAAAAAATATAAGTTTAGTATTATTTTTATAAAATACTTAGGCTTCGTAGTTTTAATAAAAGGTATATAGCTTAATAAAAAAAAAGGTTTTAGTAATTAAAAACTAAAAACTCCTTACGTTACTTAAGAATATTTAGTTTTTTTTTTTAGTTTTATAACTTTTATAAGAGATTAATCCCTTTTAGGGTCCGGTCTGCCTTATTAGGGGCTATTTTTACCTTTATAAACAAGCTAGTTTATTAAAATTAATATTAAGTTTTTATTACGTATTTTAATAAAATTTTAAAACTAACTATAGCCGGTTATAACTAGCTATAGCTAATTTTAATTATTAATACTAACTAAATTTAAAATATTAATAACCTTATTATTATAATATATTAATCGCCCTCTAAATAACTAAAAACTACCCCCTACTTTTTACTTTTTTTAATAGCTTTAAATTTTTTTTTTTAATCTCTCCGAATTTCTTATTTTATTATAACGATATTAAAATATTAATAATACTTAAGAGTCGATTAAGTATTTTAAAACTATTATATTATATAAGTTAGGTATTAATAATAGTAATATTTATAAGAGTATATACGTTTTTTATTTTTAAATTAATAATAATTAGTTTATACTCCTTTAAACGATCCTTTTATAAATCGGGATCGTTAAGTATAATATTAATAAGATCGAATTACTAACTCTTAAAATATCCTTATAAATTAACGAGTTAGCGTCTTAGTATTTTAAATATTCTTAAAATAAATAGTTTAATAGTAATAGTAATAGTATAATAATAATAGATAGCGAGGGAAGTATTTTTTAATTTTAATAAAAAAAACGAGGTAACGAATATATATATATATATATAAGTCGAAATTAAAAGCGTAGTAGATATTAATAAGGTTAGTATTATTCTTAACGACGGCGACGAGGGTATCTCCGATACTATATTATTATAAGTTATTATTACTTAGAGGGTAGTAAACTTAGCTAAGTAGGTAGCTCATAAGGTAGTAGCGTTAGGCGCCTAATATTGCTATTAATAATCCGTAATTATAAACTTTATAAGAGGGAATATAAGAGGGAAAATTAAAAAAGTAAAAAATCTAAATAAAATAGTCTATTAAAATAGTAAGAGTATTTATTAATACTATATATTAATACTATATAATCGATATTAAGAACCGCCAGAGTAACTAGTAAAAATAAAAAATATAAATAAATAACTATTATTTTAATAAGCGCTTAGCTTATATAATATAGGCTTAAAATACTTAACTAACTTTAAAATATTATTAATATTTTAAAAACGTAATATAAGAATAGGTTAAAAAAAACTAAAAAGGATATTTTAAAGTTATTAAATAAAATAAAAAGTAGGGGTTAGTTTTTAGCTATTTAAAGGGCGATTAATATATTATAGTAGCGGGGTTATTAATATTTTAAATTTAGTTAGTATTAATAATTAATAACGGCTATACTAACTATAATTAGTTATAGTTAGCTATTATTAATTAGTATAAAATCTTATTAAAATACGTAATAGAAACTTAATATTAACCCTAATAGACTAGCTTACTTATAAAGGCGAAGATAGCCCCTAATCAGACGGGCCGGACCGTAAAAGGTAATACTAGCCTATATAAATAACTAAATCCCGTATTATATATTCTTTTTTATTAAGAATTAAGGGACCCTTTATATGTTCTTTTATATTTATAATATAACCTATATTAAAAAAATTATTAATTTTATAAAATATAATTATTAAGTTAATATTAATATATTAAATTTTAATATCTATATTAACTTAGCTATTTATAATATTCGTATTATTATTTAACTAAATTTTATATTATTAAAAAGTATTATGCTATTTTTTAAGTATATTTATATTAATTATAATAGTTAGGGCGTCGAGGGGGCCTAAGAATTTATCGAGCTCTAGAGGGGGGGACCTATTAAGGGATATTTTTAATAAAATAAGTTCTTAATAAAGTAGTATTTTAATTAGCTAATTTCTTAACTAGTTATTTAACTAGTTATCTAAGTAGTAGTTTATATATTAATAAGTTTATTTAATAAGTTTATTTAATAAGTTTATTTAATAAATTTATTTAATAAATTTATTTAGTTTAAATATAATAGCTTTAAGTAATATTAAAAATAATAAAAGTAAAAAGAATCTTTACGAGCTTTAAAAAGTAGCTAAATATCAACCTTTCTACCTTTTTTTTTAAAAACCTCTATATCGCTATTAAAGTTTAAAACCTTTATAATTAAAGACCGCTTTTAATTTTTATAACTAACCTCTATTATTAACCTTTTTAATTAGTATTATTATATAAATATATTACTTAGCTTATTATTAACAAGTAATAGGGTAGCTTATTTATTTTAAATTATATAGCGGTTTTTATATTAAAATTATTATATTATATTAAGTACGTACTTAGGGTATATAGTGGTTTTTTTTTTTAGCTTTATAAGCGTAAAAGATCGACCTTAACGGGATTACGTTTTTAAAAGAAATTATATAATACGGTATATTTTTTAATTATATAATATATATAATATGCTTTAAGTACGTGCTTGACGTAATATAGTAATTTTAATACGAAAATTATTATATAATTTAGGATAGGTAAGCTACCCTCTTTACTTATATAGTAGCGCTAGTTAAAAAGGTTAATAATAAAAGTCGGCCGTAAAAGTTAGAAATAGCCGTTAACTATAAAGGTTTTAAATTTTAATAATAATATAGAGGTTTTTAATGGTGGCGTCGGGCGCCTAGCATCGCCGTCAATGATCTTGAACTTTGTAGGAGGGAAAGTTGGAAAGGTGGAAAATCTAAAAAAAAATAGTCTATCGAGATAGTGAGAGTATGTACTGATACTGTGTATTAATACTGTGTAAACGATACTGAGAATCGCCCGAGTAGCTAGCAAAGGCAGAACACAAAAATAAATAGAGGTTTTTTAAAAAAAAGGGTTAAAAGGGCTAATATTTAGTTACTTATATTAAAGCTTATAAAGATTTTGTTTATTTTTATTATTTTTAATATTATTTAAAGCTCTATTTAAACTAAATAAATTTACTAAATAAACTTATTAAACGAACTTATTAATATATAAATTACTATTTTATTAAAAATACCCATTAATAAGTCCCCCCCTCTAGGGCTTAATAAATTCTTAAGCCCCCTCGACGCCCTAACTATCATAATTAATATAAGTATACTTAAGAAGTAGCGTAGTATTTTTTAATAATATAAAATTTAGCTAAGTAATAATATTAGTATTATAAATACTAGGCTAATATAAACGTTAAAATTTAATATATTAACGCTAATTTAGAAATTATATTTTATAAAGTTAAAAATCTTTTTTATATAGGTTATATTATAGATATAAGTGAATATATAGTTTATTAAGACAGTGGGAGTATCTATTAATACTGTGTATTAATAGCGTATAAATAATACCGAGAACTACCCGAGTAGCTAGTAAAGGTAGAATAAAAAAACAAATAAGGGAATATATAAAGGGCCCCCTAACTCTTAATAAAAAGAAGTATATAATATAAGATCTAGCTGCTTATATAAGTTAGTACTAAGAGGTCTCATATACGTTAGAGTAAGTATAGCTCGCCCTCTAAATAGTTAGAATTACGTAATAAAAAGTCAGGAGCTATTTTAATTAGTGATTAAGTATAGAGCGTAATATACTTAGTTTTTTTTAATACGTAATATATAGTACGGCCCCGGTAGATTACTCTGTCGGGGGGTACGTACTTAGGGTATATTATATATATTATATAATTAAAAAGTATATTTTATTATATAATTTCTTTTAAAAGCGTAATCCCGTTAAGGTCGATCTTTTATACTTATAAAGCTAGAAAAAAAACTACTATATACTTATATAAAGGAAAGTTATAATACTAAGTAAATTAAAAAATATATAATACGGATCTAACTTAGTATAATATAAAGAGCTTTAGGTATATATTAATCATAATTTAAGTATTTAATTATTAATACTTAATTATTAAGGGCCCGTTATAAAACTTAAATTTATAAATAAAAACTACTATACTTAATAATTTATTATTATTATAAGATAATAATAATATAATAATAATAATTATAATTATAAATTTATTAAAATAAAAAGTAATTTAAAAGTTTATTTTTTAATATTATAAATAGTACCCTTTAGTATAAAAAAGGGGGGTACTATTATAATAATAAGTATTAGGGCCTTATAAGCCCTATAACTTAGCCTTAAGCTACGAAACTAAGCTTTTAGTAATTATATAATAAGCTAGACCGCTGGGCCTAAAGGGCTAGCTTATTAGCTTCTACTTATTATTTTATTTTTTCTTTTTTTATATTAAGTCTTTAGTTTATTAAGTTAATATAGTAGCGTTTTAACCTACCTCTAGTTTCCTTTTATAATAATAGCTCTTAATAAGGCGGACTAGACCCTAAAGGGACTATGTATATTATATAGTTAAAAAGTATACTATATTATATAATTTTTTGAAAAATATAAATTTATTAAATTTAATATTTTATATTTATAAAGCCGGAAAAAAACCACTATATTACTTAGGTTTAAAATATAAGATTTAATACGTTTAATTTAATAAGACTCTTAATATTTTAAATTCTATAAGCTCTATACTCGCTAGGCATAGATTAGTATATTATAATCCTTTGCTATACCTCTATAGCCGTCCTGGCTATATACCCTTGCGGTGCACCTCCTTATACGTAGCCGCAGCCCCGCGCTAGAGATCTATGGATCTAGTACCAGTAGGTCACTGGCAGGTACCTTGGTAGCCCCACTACAGCTTGTTCCTGCCACATTGCCTCCGCCGGTAGGCCACAGCTCAAAGCCGCCGTTGTTTGTTAACTGTGCCGTGGCCATACCAATCTACCTTCTCCGTCCTATCCTCTATTTAACGCAGCAACCCTCGCGGCACTCGCAAACCATCTGCTGGCAATCTAAGTATGAACTAATGCACCGCTATTCCTGGTCAAATATCCGCCACTGACCACATCTTACAGGATTCACGCCGAAGCCGCACCACCTGAATATCGACCGTAGCAGAGCATTTGAACAACGATGGACTACGAAGCTCTTAAGGAGCAATGGAGCGAGGTCGAGGACCGTGATGGAGTTCGCCTGAGTTGGAACGTGTTTCCTAGCTCTCGTATGGTCAGTTGTTCTTGGAAAAGTGTCTTCCTGCGTCTTCTGACATTTGCTCATACAGGAAGCATCGCGCTTGGTCGTGCCGATTGGGGCCAACTACACTCCTCTCAAAGAAAAGCCCGACACACCACTCCTCCAATTCGAACCGGTGACTTGCAAGCAACCTTGTCGCTCCGTCCTCAATCCTTTCTGGTGAGTTAAGCGATTTGAGTCATTGGAATCTTCAAGCCTGACCTGGGTTAGCTCTGTGGACGTAAGAGCCCGTCTTTGGATTTGTCCGTTCTGCCTATCGCGGAACCCTCTTCCGCCCCATTACAAAGATATCACCGCCAATGCCATCCCCCCCGAACTTCATCCCTCCAACACTACGATCGAGTATCGGCTCTCGCGGCCGGCGCCAAGCCCTCCCATCTTCCTCTATGTTGTCGACACCTGCCAAGAGGATGATAGCCTGGCTGCGCTCAAGGAGTCATTGGTCATGAGCCTGAGCCTGCTACCCGAAAATGCACTCGTTGGCTTAATCACATATGGCACGATGGTAGGTGGCGTATTCATTGGGAACCCCATGACCCTCCTTGCTGACCACTTCTCAAGGCACAAGTTCACGAAATCGGCTACACTGAATGCGCGAAATCCTATGTGTTCCGCGGGAGCAAAGACTACTCCGCGAAGCAGGTGCAGGAGATGCTCGGCTTGCTCTCCCCAGCAATGCGACCCGGCATGCCCCAGCAGCAGCCTGGAAGGCCTATGCCCGCAGGCCCTGCGTCGAGATTTCTGCTACCCGTTCAGCAGGCCGAGTTTCAGCTGACGAAAGCTTTGGAGCAGCTTCAGAAAGACCCATGGCCCGTAGCCAACGACCGCAGGAGTCTGCGCTGCTCCGGCGTTGCTCTCAGTGTCGCAGTAGGACTCCTTGAGTCTTCATTCCAACACGCCGGTGGCCGCATCATGCTCTTCGCTGGTGGACCGGCGACAGAGGGACCCGGCATGGTAGTTGGCCCGGAACTGAGAGAGCCCATCCGATCGCACCATGACATTGACCGTGACAACATCAAGTACTACAAGAAGGCACTCAAGGTCGGTACTTAGATGAGGTTTCCTCTGTATAGGAAAAGCTGACGCTAGCCCCTAGTTCTATGACATCCTGGCCAAGAGGACCGCTCATAATGGCCACATCATTGACATATTCGCGGGTTGTCTTGATCAAGTCGGTCTCTTAGAGATGAAGGGCCTCTGCAATTCCACCGGTGGCCACATGATTTTGACCGACAGTTTTACTTCCTCTATGTTCAGGCAGTCGTTCATTCGCGTGTTCGAAAAGGATGGTGACGACAACTTGCTCATGGGCTTCAATGCTACGCTCGAAGTACTCACCACTAAAGAGTTAAAGGTTACTGGACTGATAGGCCACGCCATTTCTCTTAACAAGAAATCGACATCAGTTGGAGAGACGGAATGTGGCATAGGCAACACATGCTCATGGAAGATGTGCGGCATCGACCCCAACGCAAGTTACGGCGTATACTTTGAGATTGCAAGTCAGGGAGGCCCTACGCAGCATCAGCAAACGCCACAGAAGGGCATGATCCAATTCCTCACCTACTACCAACACTCGTCCGGTCAATTCCATCTGAGGGTTACGACAATTGCCAGAAACCTCAGTGGACCAGCTGGCGATCCGGCTATTGCACAATCGTTCGACCAGGAAGCTGCTGCTGTCCTGATGTCTCGCATTGCAGTGTTCAAGGCCGAAGTTGATGACGGTCCGGATGTCTTGCGCTGGGTTGACAGGATGCTTATCAGACTCTGCTCCCGCTTTGCAGACTACCGGAAAGATGATCCATCTTCCTTCCGGCTCGAGAAGAACTTTACATTGTACCCGCAGTTCATGTTCCATCTCCGGAGGAGTCAATTCCTACAGGTCTTCAACAACTCCCCCGACGAGACGGCCTTCTATCGCCATGTCCTTAACCACGAGGACGTAAGCAACTCGCTCATCATGATACAGCCCACGTTAGACTCGTACACGTTTGATCAGGAGGGTGGCCAACCTGTGTTGCTGGACTCGACTTCTATTCAACCCACCCATATCCTTCTTCTCGATACCTTCTTCCACATTCTCATTTTCCACGGGGAGACGGTCGCCGAGTGGCGCAAGGCGGGATACCAGGACCAAGAGGGCTATGAAAACTTTGCATCTCTGCTCGAGCAGCCCAAGGAAGACGCAAGAGTAAGCTCTCTCCCTCCGTCAGGCTCCCAGTATGTCAGCTAACATTATGTAGGATCTCATCACCGATAGATTCCCACTTCCTCGATTCATTGTTTGTGATGCTGGAGGTTCTCAAGCCAGATTCCTTCTGTCGAAGCTCAACCCGTCGACCACCCACACTACCGGAGCTTATGGCGGTGTGGGTGCGCAAAACGCCCAGACTATCTTCACTGATGATGTGTCTCTGCAAACCTTCATGGACCATCTCATGAAGTAAGGAATCACTCAATATTTATCCTATCCTATTGGACTTGCTAACTCTGGGTATTAGGCTGGCCGTAAGTGGCACAAACTAAATCAGTTGCGTATCGTCATGGGCTGAAGGAGGATATCGGTGCCAGCAAAGACGGGGTGGTCGTCTTCGTCGTACCAAGAGACGACAAATCCACAAGATGGGGGATGTAGAGCACAATCGCAACTCGGAGTCTGGAGGTCTCTAGCATATAAGGCTTCAGACTTTGCCGTAGTTATGAAGACAAATGCCAATGAACACTGAAGAATTCCGTGTAAGATTTCACTTACGCGGCCAATGCGGCCAATGCACCTTGCGGTCCGTGAGATTTATCAGATTGAATCATGAGAGCAAGGCAAATGAGACAATAAGTTGAACGATGTTGAGACTCTACCCGAGCCAAGGTATTTCAGGAGACCTATGTACCCGACGCAACTTTATTTGACCTGGTACATGTGAATCGTGACAGAGTGGGGATGTATGGTAGCTGAAGAACCCCGCCCCCACCAAGACGATTGATTCCCTACTAAGGTAGGTACGGAGTGGGAGCGTACCTAGGTAAGGAGGCAAGGTAATCCACGGAGTACATCAGGTGGGCACCTGTACCCGTACCCAAATACTTCTAGGGCAGTACCGCAATCGCTGAGGCGCACTCCGCATGGACTTCGCCAAAGTTGCGTTTCCGACGTGTGGCTAGAGTTAAGGTAGTCGTGGGCAGGTAGCGAATGTGGCTTAGTCTATCCGTAGCGAGAGCTGATAAGAAGATCAGATAGGTACCTAGGCAGGTAATATTATCAATCAAGGGCACTTTGGGTAGGTGCGAACAAACCACGTGATAGTTGCGGCTTTCTTTGGCGAAAAGACCCTCCGTGGATAGTGGAGTGCGAAAAAGGTTATTGGCCAGGCTTTTGTGCACTGATTTTCTCCGCTCAGCCACATGAATTGTGGCGTAGTATCTTAGTCTTTTTTGCCTAGGGCTGCGAGAAGGCGCACAGAACTAATCAACATTTTCCCCCGTCCAACTCGACCTCAACTCCATCTTTCGACACCAACTTTCCCATCAGACCCAGATCCGAGAGCAGACACGATGCGTAAGTGACCCTCTCGACTGCCATGAGGCCGAACAAGCGACGAGAAGAAAACTAATAGTATACCACAGCTCCCAAATTCGATCCCAACGAAGTCAAGGTCATGTACGTTGCACCTTCCCTATAACTCTGAATATTTGCGGCGACGAGAAAGGAGGTTTTTTTATGTTTTTCTAACACAATTCGCGAATACAGCCACCTCCTGGCCACCGGAGGTGAGGTTGGTGCCTCCTCTGCCTTGGCCCCCAAGATCGGTCCTCTCGGTCTGTCTCCCAAGAAAGTTGGTGAAGATATCGCGAAGGCCACTGGCGACTGGGTATGACAATTCCTCCACCCTTAACTTTTAACACTCCCGCAAGCGAGCTGGAACAGGACTGACATGATTGGAATTATAGAAGGGCCTCCGCGTGACGGTTAAGCTCACCATCCAGAACCGTCAAGCCGCTGTCTCCGTTGTCCCTACTGCCTCTTCCCTCATTATCCGCGCCCTCAAGGAGCCCCCTCGCGACCGCAAGAAGGAGAAGAACATCAAGCACAACAAGTCTGTTCCCCTGGAGGAGATCATTGAGATTGCGAGAACCATGCGCCACAAGTCCTTCTCCAAGACATTGGAGGGAGGTGTTAAGGAGATTCTTGGAACGGCAAACAGTGTTGGATGCCAGGTTGACGGCAAGAGCCCCAAGGCCATCACCGATGCCATCGACGCTGGTGAGATTGACAGTAAGTACCAAACATCCGACCATTTACGTTCCAAACTTGGAGAATGATCACAGTCATTTGTTGGAGTAGCTGGCTAACAAGATGAACAGTCCCCGAGGAATAAAGGAGGTCAATAGCTGGACGGACACTCTCGCATGACTTCTGGAGTTTAGGAATGGTTCTGCATTAAGGGAACTACCCAAAAGGGAGAACCTTGGGCAAAGAAAAAAAGAATTGCCAAATGACCAAATGACAAAGTTTCCAAAGATGGTTGTCGCTATTTTGCTCGCCGCGAATTACCTCATTGCGCTGTGATGTCAGGGTCTGCGAATTGGTGTGGCATTTCTGCTCAGAGTTCCGGATGTGCCATGGCATATCTAGTTTCTGGTCTCAAGATAGGTTGGAGCCTCTCAGCAGCAGGGTCATGTCCATAACAATGTATTGCACTCCGCACGCCGACTGGCATGGTCAACAATGATGTAATTGCAGCATTTGGCAATGGTTCGGGAGAGTACGCGACCTCGAAGAACCGGTCACATGTGTGGTCTGACACCTGTAAGGTAGATACAAATGACGTTTGGTGGCTTGCAGGCTTCGGTGGTGGACCTGAATGTCTGTGTGCTTAGTTGTGTCCTGTGACTGTATCCTAAATACGCGACCTGATGCTTAAATGATTCAGACTGTGCAATTAGGTCATTAAATCATGGATGAGGGGACCTTTGGTTCTTGCGCAAGATGCGTAGAGGAAGTTGAGTGAGGAAGGAGGATTATTTTATCCGGTATTGTGAATTTGTTACGTATGGTTGGTAAAATTAGCATTGTCTTGGGCAGTGCGGCGAAACCAACGTGTTTGGCACTAATGCATGGATCCAGGCTTGTCACCTCACCGGCCGGCGTTTAAGATTGATAAAAGGTCGGGTTGCTTCCGTTGTTGGATTTACTAGGTGTTGTTGCCCGCCGTTTCTCATTACTTTACGTCCAACAGATAATGAGTATTTTGTCCGCGGCTGACGGCACCCGTATGAGAAGGCATATTTTGCTCATTTGTTCGAGGAATTTCATTCCCACCGCGCCCTCGGCCAAGAGCATTTTCAAGTCGGGGGAGGGCCTGGTGTCACCTTGTGAACTTCTCTGCTTAAGTAACCCTCCCCAAGCGGCCGCGCGCTTTACTGCCAAGTTTTGTTACAGCATTCCCGTTTTGTGCTTTAACAGGTAATTGCGAAACATACTTTTGTATCCGCACCTGTACCGTGAGGTGTATAATCGCCTTTCTCGACTACGGCTGGGGATTACAATACCGCCGTCCCCCGAGACATTTACCATCCCCTCCATCTTTGCATCCCGTTGTTCCAAATCCCTATGAGATGCTGCCAGCCGGTGCCTGCTGTCTTGTATCCGTATCTCCTTCGTTGCTCACCTCGTCTGACCGCTTTTGAGAAGTACGGAGCACGCCCCAGTTGTGACCCCCCACCCCGCCCGCCCCGTCACCTACCATGCGTCAAGCCTCAAGGTACCTTTCCTCACCTCATCACACCCACCCCAGTCACGACATCCGACTTTGAGCAGCCAAATCCCCAATACTAGGCACCCCATGCCCATGGTCTGCGCATACACAATACTTTGCAGATTAGTGTCTAGTACTCGTACGGGATAGTGCGCTGACCTTTCCCTGACGCTGTAAGGTATGCTCTGCTCTCGGATACGTACCTCCGCGTCAGGCTGGAGGCCATAAGCTGGGAGGGATACTGGAGACTTCTTGACAGATCCTCGAGACGAATCGATTAAATCTAGGCCACAGGGCAGCCTTCAGCTTAACTCGCTATATCGGGCTGATACCCATTCCAATAGTCTGGCCTCCAACTTCTGACTTCTTATCACACTGCTGTGACTGCTGTGACTGCCTGAGTGGTCCGCCTGGATGATCGCCATACCTATTTGACCTGCGCTTCTTTCTTCTCCCAACGGCTGCCGTGCTACGGCTACCACTACCACCACCACCACCACCACCCAACTGGGGCTAAACCGGGCTGAATCGCATTGCATCTTCCTACCACAACCAAACCTGTAGCCACGGCCACGGCTGCAAGCTATAGCTGTCATTCCTGCTCCCGTCGCGGCTACCGCCACAGTTATCGTTACTGCTACTACTATTACTGCCGCTGCAGACCTCGCAATAGTCACATTGTATCTCGCTCCACGTTGCTTTCGTATTCTCCTCGCCGATAGAGGATCACTCGATCGACCGCTTCAACCCTCCTCCTGCGATCTTTGTCGCTGAACTTGCCGGTCAGGCCGAACGTCTCTAACGTTACCATTCCTCTATTAGGCCCCCCAGCCTCGCATTGCCCCGACCGACGAACCCGGCGCTAACTTTACGACGTAACGACGAACCTCTGTCGGAAGGGGAAAAACGATACTTTCTCGACATTGCCCTCCGTCGCGCTTCATCGAACTTGAACCACAAGAGAGCCAGGTCCCTAGGCTTGGAAAGGCCGCAGGGCAGGTGGCATTGCTATCGGGCATTGGCACAGCCGTTCGCTCGAGGCGTCCCGGAGGCCATGCCCGTCAGCCGGCCTGTCAGCCATGCTTTAGCCAGCAGGCAATGACAATTGGTTCCCGGATCGATATATCCAGCCTGGAACTCGCAGCACTCTCCTTCGTGCTGAGCTCGCTCTTTCCGTGCTCCGTTCCATGATACCCAGAAGCGCCTCGTCGTCTTCATCACATAACCCATGTTGCCTCTAGTTCAGATGCACCATACGGTGCCACAGGCGCCAAACTTCGATCCCCTCCCGCCCTTCCAGCAGCCACAACAACAGCAGCACCACCTCCAGCACCGCCAGCCAGAAGACTACCCACCGCAACAACATAACTACCATCTGCTTCCTCACTTCAGCACGTATACGTTCAATCAGAACTTACGCTGCCCGCCAGCCGGCTCGGCGAATGCTCTTTTCCCTGACGGCAAGACGCCACGATCCTTTCCAATTCGGACTTCTTCACACCCAAATCAACCGATACAGCGCCGCACGACGGCCGCAGGCCAGTCGCATTTTCTTGACGGACCGGAACATCAGTTGCGACGTAAAACGCCGAATGGCACTATTGAAGCTGGCTACGATGGTTCTCATGCTCAATACGCCTCGAGGCCTCCGCCCCTGAAGCAGATGGCGCTCCCGGCGGTTCAAATGGCGTATAATACGAACCGCCCTCATCAGACCACCGACCAGATCCGCAATTCTTTACCTGTCCGTGATCAGGCAGGCGGTAGTTTGAACATAACGCCTCCATCATATCAACTATGGCCACTTGCACAGGACTTGACCCACCAGTCGATGCACTCTACCGTCTCTCTGGCCTCTTCGCAATACGGGTTCAACACTCCGGACACGGCTGCGCTGTTTTGCTCTACTCCTCAGCTTCATTCGCGGCCTTCGCTGTTCAATACCAACTCATACTTCCCCGGGACCCTCCCTTCTGGGAACACCGGAGCCAGTATCCCGGGACTACTACATGTAGCCAACTCGTGGTTTCCGACGCATCAGCAAGAGCAGAGTTATGTCGGCCCGCCGATGCACCATACCCCGTCTCCGTCACCATCGATTTACGACCATCGTTACTCCAAGGTGCAGAATCAGATTACAGGACCGTCTGCCCACTTCACTCCACAGGATCCTTACGCTCACCTCTCAGCATACGGGTCTGGCTTTTTGCAACCTGCGCAAACTCATTTAGAGGCTCTTACACTAGAACCGCACCAAGCTATCAGCACTGTTGATTCTATGAACAAGACACATTCTTCCGCATTCAGAGAAAAGGCGCTGGCTCAAGCGCACCGAAGTTATGTCGACTTACTCGCACTCTTGCATCACGGGCGCAAAACTCAGCAGTTGAGGCCTGGCTCAGCTCTGAGCACTACCTCGAGAATGGTGGTATATCCCAAGCCACCTAAACAGCCCATCGTCACCTTGGCCCCGGACCTCTTTTTCCCGGGAGATGCCGCTATGATGGCCAACGCAAGCCACAGAAACAACCAAGACAGCATGCTATTCGGTCCCTTGGGAGTCAAATCGCCACTCACAACGCAGCATGCTGGCTGGGACGGGGTTACGGATTTCCGGCATGGCAATTTCCCGGTCACGAACTCCAGCGGATCTCCGTATCCGAATCAGATCTCGAGAGGCTCACCTCTTGCGAATGCCAAAAGTTCCCTAGAGCTTCTCACCCGTCTATGTGAGCATTCCGAGTGGAAATGGATCGATGGTGTTCTACTGGGAGGCTGCTTGCACTACGGCCTGGAACACTTCGAGGAAGCCTTAGAATGGTTTACCCGAATCACTTCACTAGAGCCGAAGTAAGTCTTCATCCCACCATCTTTGTCTTGCGTCTGGCTTTCATTGTTATGGGATTACGAACTTACCCTTACTAACTCTTCATATAGTCATGTTGAAGCAGTGTCGAATCAGGCGGCGACTTTGTACTGCCTGAACAGACAAGATGAGGCAGAGAAATGCTGGTTGAAGGCGATCAAAACTCGACCGCAATACCTTGAAGCCGTAGAACATTTGGTCGGTCTGCTGTATAAAAAGAAAAGCGTCGCCGCGGTTGATGTCATCGATTTTGTTCAAAAGTCTCTCAGGCTACCAAAGGGATCAACAGGAGAGACTGGCTATGACACTACCGCCGCCCAAAGAGATGCCGCTTCCAGCTTGGCGGCTAGCCTTTTCAACGAAAGCCGAACCCAGCCTGGCTTTGGTTCGAGCGGTTATGCTATTCCAGGTACCGAAAATGGCCGCATACTCGCATTAGTCCATGCCAAAGGGACAATGCTGTACAGTCTGAAGGATATCGCAGGGGCGTCTGAAGCCTTTGAGGAAGCTGTCTTGATCAGCGCAGGAAGAAGAACATCATCTGTTCAGACGTTGGTCCGACAGATCCAGCAGGTTCTGGCACCAAACGGCAGCAATCACCACGTCATCGACAATGCGACGCCGTCTCGCCCCTTGTTACTGCCACCTGAACAGGCGAGGCGCACGGCAAAGCTGGTATTTTCTAACAACGGCGATCTTCCTGGACTACGGTTCGTGCCTGAAGGCGGCCCAAGGCGAGCGGCAATTCAAACTACTAGCAACTCGCTACTTTCTCTCGCCAAGATATTCCAGGATGCCATGTCCTCTAGCTCGCAGGCTGCGGGACTAGTGAGGAAGTCAGCCGGGGTTGGTGACATTCTGTCTCTTTACTATCTTTCATTGTCACTTCAAGAGAGCCCATCAACTGCAAACAATGTAGGCATTCTACTTGCCAGTGTACAGCAGCCTATGGCAGCGACGTCGAGTCGGACTTTGTCATCATTGCCCAGTATTCCTGGCATTACCCCTGGCAGTGGACTCGCTTTGGCTCTTGCGTACTACAACTACGGGCTTACACTGGATCCAAAGCACGTTCACCTGCACACCAACCTCGGCAGCCTTCTCAAGGACATTGGTCAGCTGGACCTTGCGATCCAGATGTATGAGCAGGCTGTCCAGTGCGATGGAAATTTTGATATCGCCCTAACAAATCTTGCAAATGCCGTCAAGGATCGAGGGCGTATCAGTGATGCGATAACATACTACAAAAGGGCTGTTCATTCCAATCCAGAATTTGCAGAAGCAGTATGCGGGTTGTCTACAGCCTTGAACTCGGTTTGCGACTGGAGAGGCAGGGGCGGCGCACTCCTACAGGGGGGCACGTATGATCGCTGGCATGTCGACAACGACGGCATGTTTTTCGATGCCAGGAAGGAAGACCAAGGATCCGGCCTCACGAAGAAGGTTATCGACATCGTGTCGCGCCAACTCGCTGACGCGTCAACTTGGGGCGTTGGCGTTCTACAGAATACCGATATTGAAGCACTGGTTGCACAGCTTTGTTCGGCCGACGGGGAGTCGAATGACGCCCACACCGACTTCTCGACAAAGCTACTTAGCTGGTCCAAGAGCCCGTGGGAGGGATCGCGTCTGCTGAGGCTCGTTGAGCGTGGAGCACGGGCAGCGATGCGGCGATGGTATTGCGACAAGTTTGTTCAGGGTTCAATGAAGTCGACCTCGGAGTACATGCGCCCTCAACTGCCGTCTACCCTCGCTGTACCGTCCGCTCCAACAGTCCTCCCATTCCATACCTTCACCTGTCCCTTGACTGCGAAAGACATTCGCATGATATCACAACGCAACGCGTTCAGGATCTCCTGTTCTACACTTCGCTCCCCTTGGCTTCCAAAGACCGTCTACCCCCCGCCTGCGCCTCCATCGCCTCATCTGAATGTCGGCTATGTTTCTTCAGACTTCAATAATCATCCCTTGGCTCACCTGTAAGACGGCACGATTTGATTCAATATTACCTTGCCGCAGTTTATACTGACATCTTAATAGTATGCAATCCGTTTTCGGTTTTCACGATCCCACCCGCGTAAAAGCATTCTGCTATGCCACGACAGCAAGTGATAAATCTGTTCATCGGCTGCAGATTGAACGTGAAGCGCCTGTGTTCCGAGATGCCAGCACATGGACTTCGGACAAGCTAGTTGAGCAAATCGTTCAAGACAATATTCACATCCTTGTCAACCTGAATGGCTATACTAGAGGCGCCCGCAACGAAATTTTTGCGGCGAGACCTGTTCCGATCCAAATGTCCTTCATGGGCTTCGCCGGCAGCTTGGGTGCCGAGTGGTGTGACTATCTGCTTGCAGACGCCACAGCAATTCCGCCGGAGACACTACGCCCTTGGCGTGGTAACCTCTCTGTCACAGACGTTTTTGAGGACAAAACTGAAGAAGGCGAGGGAGACTGGATCTACTCGGAGAACATCGTGTTCTGCAGAGACACTTTCTTCTGCTGTGACCATGCGCAGTCGAGCGACCCCGATGAACATAAGGTTTCATGGGAAGATGAGCAGCGCCGACGGTGGAGCATGCGGAAAGAGTTGTTTCCCAGCCTGCCCGATGATACCGTTATCATGGGAAACTTCAATCAACTATACAAGGTTGGTCATATTCCGCGTATTCATGCATCAATACCGAGACCAGTAGCTAACTCCTTTTCAAGATCGACCCTACAACATTTCGGACGTGGCTACGCATCCTAGCACAGGCTCCCAAGGCCATCCTATGGCTCTTGCGATTCCCCGAACTGGGAGAAACAAATCTTAGGAGAACGGCGAAGGATTGGGCCGGGGAAGAAGTTGCTAGCCGAATCATCTTCACGGACGTGGCACCGAAGAACCAGCATATATCCCGAGCTCGCGTCTGCGATTTATTCCTCGACACTCCCGAGTGTAACGCGCACACCACGGCCGCAGATGTATTGTGGTCTAGTACACCTCTTCTCACACTACCACGATACCCCTACAAGATGTGTTCGCGTATGGCGGCATCAATTTTGAAGGGCGCGCTGCCTAGAGGTCCCGTTGGTGTTGAGGCAGCAAAAGACCTCATCGCCGGCAGTGAAGAAGACTATGAGCTCTTTGCCATCAGACTAGCTAATGGCTTGTCCTATCGAGTCGGTCGTGGTGGCTATGGTGAAGGCAGGGGTCGGTTGGCAACCTTGCGCAAAACACTGTGGGACAGCAAATGGACCTGTGCGCTTTTCGATACCAGACGATGGGTGGTTGATCTAGAGAAGGCCTACGACGAGGCGTGGCGACGATGGGTGGCAGGAGAGGACGGAGACATCTACTTGTAGAGGCTCCAGCGTTTCTTTCAGGGGCATGGCAACTTTGATTACGCATTCATGTGCTGGGACGAAGAGCTCGCGCCCAGTACTTATACTTGCCGAAATCATGTTCGTTTTGGGGCAATCTTCTTTGACTTTTATTCTGGATGCACCACTAGGGACTTGCAGGCTGGCCAAGGTGCTGGCCAGGTTTAGACATCAGGGGCGGGAGTTTCAGGCGGAGGATATGCTATTGATTTGCATAGACACCAGTCCAGAGCAATACTGCTCGATGAACTGAGCATATCTTTCACTGCTTTGACGTTACTGAGGCAAGCTCAGTGTTGGTTGCGGGATGGAGCCGGCGTTTGGAGGAGGGTTTACCTCGGAGCAGGCTATGATGTACATAATAATACCCTGGGCCTCTTTCCTCGTCCACGTGAGATGTGAGGCCCCCGCGATCCATGTTTTGATTGGAATTCATTGCTCTTACATTACAAGCTCCAGCCAGCCATCAGACCATCCGAATCTAGGTCAAAACTTTGATGCTCTTTTATCACCGACATCCTTATACCTACCTCCACGGGCTGCGTCTGCAGGGATTTAAAGCAACGTCCAATAGAGACGGCGACATGAGAAGGCCAGGCTGGTTTGGAATAACAGAGGTGAAGGCTGGGATTCAGCATAGAGTTAGCGCCACTTATTCTTTCTCGGATCGGATATCAAGAGAATGCGGAAACTTTCACCAAGCAGGTGTAGCCAACGCACCCATTGTGGACTTGTGGTAAGATTTGTGCCATGGGAACACCGGTGGACAGGGAAGCTAAGTAGGCGGCAAGAACACCGTTGACTCGCTTCGTCAACCATGAGAATGCCCAGCGTTCCGTAAAGCAACCAATGGCAAGCCGAGGACGACAATGTTTCTCTCTCCATATACGAACTATGAGAGGCTTCAGAATGGAGATGGGGCGTCAGCATGGAACCAGTAATGACTCTCGACCTAGGCTTAACTGAAGTAGCTTCCCCATGAGCTGTGTGTGTGCGTGTCCGGAGACGATTGTCGCACCGCTATCGAACCATGCCCATTCCTACTTAGGGGCACCGGGGAGGAGGACGAACGCCACAAACGTGGAAACTAGGATTGCAGCAAGGGACCTGTGGTTTTGGGGCCAGACCTTTTTCCCCGACAACATGGGGATAAAGATCATAGCCTGATAGCCATCCAGTCGACAACATTTGAGGCGAGGAGAGAAAGGGACAGCCGTATTGAGAAAAAGGTCATACTCCTTGTCAAAACAGTGGGCGTGGCGAAGTGGTCCAAAGACTCGATGAATAAAACCATGTGCGTTTTCATCTCCCATCAGCCAAGACCATGAGGTGTCGGTAATTCGAGCAAGCAAGACTAGTCTGAAATAATGTGCGAGAAAAGATCTACATCCTTCCATCAGCCCACTGGCCCTCCCATTTGATTACCCCATCTTATCCCTGAAGACAGTGACGCGTGAACTCTCACGACATATTCGGCCAATTAATTCCCATCTAATGGAGAACAAAGCCGTTAAGGGGTTCGGGACGATGGTGCCAATCGACGAGTAAGATGGGCTTGTGCGAGACAGGAGTCATGGGCCTGGAGGACATACACGATCGCTCGAACCCACCTAGCTAGATCTACGTGGTACGCCGTGACATCTCGAGGCCGCTACGGTACCAAGAGCCACGTTCGACTGACGTTGATGTGATCTCTGTCTGTGTGAACATGGTCGAAAATTCTATATCTTCCTTCCTCAGGTACTCTTGGCCTTCAGACATCACGACGGCACTCTTTGATAATAATCGCCATAACAACGAAATCAACAGCAGAAGCAGCAGAAAACATCATTTCCGGAGGAAAGTTGGCACATGGGATTCACCGTGGTCGAGGTAAACTAGCACAGGGTACCAGCGAGTCCTTCCCGTCCACGATTCGCAGTTGTCGACCGTCTTCAATGTCTCATCAAAACGGAAGACGGGGTCAGAGCAAGTCAATCAAGCATGATGGTAGATCACCTAGAAGTCTGCATTCCAGTTCCACGAAAGAGCGAGGATATGGGACCACTGGTTTACATCTTGTAGCTGGCTTGAGGCCAGGGCAAAGGGGGCATGAGGCGTTGGACAAATTATGGCCACGTTATTCGCGACGGTAACAAATTCAGTGGCACGCCGGTTACCCGTCGCTTGTCAATAGTCCGACGCATGTTGCTGGCCCCTAGGTATCCGTGGATTTGGCTAGAATTGCCATCGTTGGTCAAGCCATTACGACAGAGATGTGGCTGGCTGGCTAATCCTCCAGACGTAACGGACCGTTGCCAGGAACCGTTGTGCTGGTACCGCTGCCGTGGAACTAAATAACAAGACCTCGCTCGGACATTCGTCTGTTAACACTTGCACCGAGTAGCAGTGCTACTGGCGCCGGACCCACGAAAGCTTGGTCCTGATCACGCCAACAACATTGAAGCCACGGTGAAGATGCATTTTTGGTTCATCTAGTGGGCCGTCGCCGAGTCAGAGAGGTGGGATGTGTCAAGGACCTCAGGAAAATGGTCAGTGATATAGTGATTATCTTGTGCAGTAGGAGTTCGTGCGAGAGGGTATACTGAGGTAGATACGGAGATGATGGGCCATTTCGACTTTTCGAATCCTTACTATAGCTCTCGTGGTTGTCCATGGGGAGTCAATCGAACAGTGAAAAAATCGATGTGGTCTTTCGCCAAAGGGCTGCTCACCACGGAGAGAATCGCTCTCATGCTATACGAGGTAGTAGATGTTGGCCCGCCAGGTAAACAACACCGCACGGATGATTCTGCTATGGCCATGAGCTGTAGCCGGAATCTGCTCTGCACAAGGTCACTCCGACGACTGAGACTCCTCTATGAGAGCTTACCTCGCGACGGGGAAGATGGCTGACTGTGCAGTCCGCATAGGTAGTCGGAAGAAGTAGGCTGTCAGGCATTGTCTTCACCTGAGCGGAAAGAGCTCCAGCCCCTGCCATTGGCTACCCAAATCCCTGTTGGAGTGGAATGACGAGCGGACTGTGAGTAAACGTATGTGTACGATTTGATGCTCGAGCTTCAATATCGTTGCGTGGGGTGGAAAGGGGGGATGGATGCATGTTAAGCACTAAACATTCTCGCTCTGAACATGCAACAAGGGCTGGGAACACTGATTGGATGGCTGGATAAATGGCACTGGGCAGAAGCTGGAGTTTGGGAGATGGGGTTAGAAGCGCAGATACGGGGACGGGGATCAAGGAAACAAGTGAGAAGCTGAGGCGAGGACGAGAAGGACAATGGACAGGCGGCAGGGAGCTGGTCGGGACGCGAGTGACGGTGACATGGTCAGGGTACGGGGAGAGCGATGAGGAATCAAATGCACAAGTTCAGACAGAGCTGATGGGAAACCGGCCGGAGCTCCTTTACATGTCGGCGCTGATATGCCCTGCATGACAATGGTGAGTTCCATTGTTGTATTCTTGCGGATACCTCACCTACCTTAGACTGAGGTGTATCCGTACGGTCGGCCTGTGGCCTCTCACCCTGCGATGGTCAAGAATCGACGACGAGCCGGGGTCAGCTGGGAATAGATGCAGGTGAGGTGCAGCTGGAGGTGGGGATGCTTGTTTCATGAAACCGACGGGTCGGTTAAGAGCTAATGATTCTTTCCTGCTTTTGCTGTGAGATTTCCGTGTCTACGGAGTAGCTATGTACTCGGCATGTCCTGGCTGGAGATCATTGAGAGGCCCCAGGGATGGGGGGGGGGGGGAGGGCCGGGGATGAAATTGTAGAGGTGGGTCTGCTGTGAAGGGGGAATTTGGAGGAAAAAAGAAAAAGGATAGGGATACCTGCAGCAGAAGGGAAGGGGCAGCATATGAGGAAAATGCCAAATCGCCAAAAATTCGCTTGTGATGTCCATTTGTGGCCTAGTCTGGCTAGCATGGGGGGTTGCTAGCCTGTATCCGTACGGAGTTTTTGTTTTCTTTCCTCACCAAGCACACATCACCAAGCACACCTCACCAATTACACGATCCATACTAAAGGCCCCCGGGAGAGGAGAAGGAGAGGGAACCTAGTTGTTGGAGAGGATGTGGAGCTACCAAATGTACACCATTGCAGGGCATGCTAGTATCATCCCAGAACAGCGAGTTGACTACAACTATTGAATCGACGACACCATGCTACCGCCGTATGCATGGCCTATGTATGAGACGATGGTCTCTACAGCTGAATGATGAATGTTGGAGCTGGAGTTAAAGCTGCCGAGTCCGAGAAGGCCAGAGAGTAGGGGGCTGATAGTTCTGCGAGAGAGAGGAATACGAATGCCTGACGTGGATCAGCATGCGTCTCCTCCATGCCTTGCGGATACCCTCACTCGTCAAAGGCTTCTTCTATCCATCGTCCCAAAGCCGCGTTTGCCAAATTCTTGCCTTCTTCGTCCGTGCCAGACCATGCCATCCTGAAATGTCGTGGCGGTTAGCGTCGTGGATGGGTTGGCGGAGGTGCTGACGGCCAAAGGGATATGGGCAAATTATCCCGCATGCGTGACAAACGACAGCCAACCGTTGGCATCATCTTCAACACCTGCAGCATGCGTATCCGGGCAGAGAACGCACTTGCTGTTCATTTGTATGCCACTTGCGCCTCCGGTCCCGTAGTGTCGGTCCGTCCGCTCGCCAGTCCATTGCCGTCAGCACGCTACAGCACACCCAACGTCGAGAACCGTACAGCTGGAAAGGATGCCAACGGTCTTTGCTTGCAGGTTTCAACGTAGCCTACTCCTTGGTGCAGCGGCTGCCACCGCCCCAGGACACCTAGTCGCCGGTGTCCCAAGCCCTCGGGCGCAGCTAACACGGACGAGGTACGCAAGCCACAATCAGCGCCTACGGCATAGGGCTTGTCAAAGAATATGCTGCTGGCTCCGGCCGGGCCCAGCGCCGCCGATTATGGCGTCGGACGAGATACCACTTTGGGCGCAATTGTCCCGGAGCACCCTCCAGCATCGGCGGGGGCAGAGTTGTTCATCCTTCCAATGCAGCGAGCCAGTCGGCAGTTGAAGCGATCTGGCTAATCCGTCCCGATGCTTCGTTTTGCCGTGGCCATGGGCGTGAAAGCTGCCATCCCATGCTAGGTAACTCAGACATCCGATATCCCAAGGGCTCGTTCTGTTGTAAATCTCGCCGACACGTATCCTGCATGATCGGGCTATCAACCTCGCAAGTGCAATAGTTTCTCATCATCTGACCCCTCCTCACGCAGCAGTGTCAGTCATTCGACAGAAGAACGGTATTCGATCCGTCAATTTGCCAATATGCGACAGATACGATGCGGCTGGATAATCGCAGGAGCCAGAAGCCAGGGATTATATCCAAGCAAAGTTGATAGTATCCGACAATATTGATATGATGGGAGGAGGTGGTGGATGACGGCGCCATCATCCCTTCGCCGTTGAACACCCCTCAAACTAAACAGACCTAGGTCCCAGAGGAATGGGAACGAGGAGTTGGGCAGACAGCCACGGCGTCCAGCCCAAGCATGCCGGCAAGCAACTTCACTACCTGTACCAGAGTTAGCGGCGACCCAGTAGCGGGGTCACACCGTCGGGTACCATGGTATGACAATTTCTCGTGGAATGGGGGTGTGCTGTTTGTCGCCAGTGTGGGTCTGGATTCATACTTACGGACGCAAGCCATGCCACCCCCTAGCATCCCGTTGCGGAGCCAGACCTGTCGACGGACGTAACCGCGAGTGCGGTGAGGTAGCCATAGGTCCGTCGCAATGCCATAGGGGTGCACCCATAAATGCGGACAAACAAGCTATGTATCGCTCGTTTGTCAAGCACTACCTTGTAATGGTTTCCATTTCTTTTCGTCTGCCGCGATTTACGATTTGACGCTTGTATTTGCTTCTTCTTCTCTGTCATCTGCGATCGGGTTCCCTCGTCAGTTGGTCTCGTTCACACCGGCCCTGGTTCAGAAGGAAGACACAAAGAGTACTCAAGTACGAGACGCCATTCATGCACGTCTCACCCAAGGTGCCTAAAGCGGGCTCTCTGGCGATGGCGTGTATTCGCGTCAATATCCGTCTTCGTAGAGACCGTGCAAAGAATGCGAATAGCTGCATGCTATGTGAATCATGGACCATCCCGCGGCCCCAAGACCCATGCCAGCCGTGGTCCCAATCCTTTGGTTAGGATTGAACTGGGGCTTGAATGATTTGGACTGGGGTCTGGCTACCCTACAGCCGCCTTGCGGTAGGACTAGGCGTTGTGGCAGAGGAGGAGCTCGGTGCCTCGTGGTCTGGAGAATCCTTTGTAGGCCGTTGCTGGGGGCCGGCTAGACCGCGCCGGGCAAAGTCCAAAGTGTTGATATTCGTTGGGGTGTCCCCAGTGCTTCCGCATGCGTCGAGGTCTCAATGATGTCGATGACTGTTTACAGTACGCCTGGCAGTTACCAACAACGGGCGCAGACCAGAAGGGGGGGGCCATGGCAGCGTTTCGAAGGCTTGGAGATGTTGTGTCCGCATGCGGCAGCTTTCCTAGCAGTCTAGTAGTGGCCCGACAAGATGGAGGAGCCGTAACCAGACGCGTCGTGAAGTACGTCCGTAGGGTGACGGGCTGTCGTCTTTGGGATCTTTCTCATCGGCAGCAAGCAGTGATCCTCGGGTCCAGGCTGGGCTTGGATATTTGGTCTCGGCCGGGCCTAGTAAAGTCGTTGACGAGGACAATGAAAAGTTAAAAAGTAAAGGTAGAGACATAACCTAGTGTGGGCATCTTGACCCCACAGCATCGACGATGAGGGTAAGGTGGTGAATGGGCGAGTGACGCTATCTCCGGATGGCATATTGCCGCGCCAGGAAAGAAACATTGACGGAATGGGATTTCGTATCTCGTCGGCACCCCTGCTCCTCTATATCTGGTACCACCGCCCTTGGGCACGTGACACTATCGAGGAAGCTGCATGCTCAGTGAGGCGTGCAGAGGTGGCACGGGTGGAACCGACGATCCATACTTGGGCGAAATAATGGCAGGCTCGATTACCATGCATAGATGTGATGTTATTTCCTCATCCTTAGCCCTTGATCGGGAAGATGGCGAAGGGAACGGGTGACGAGTGAAGTGGTATCAGAAAAGCTGGATAAGCACTGTAGAGTACCTCATTACTCGTTGTTTGTGACGCGATACGTTTATGGTGGTGCAGTCCCCAAATTCTGGTTCAACGCTCCGGACGGCGCTGTCCTGCAGATGCTGTATTACCTCACTAGGCAGATATGCGTACATTACCGTATGGCCCCTGCCCCAGGTTACCTCACTACTTTGGATAAGGCGAGAGAGTTCACGAGATAAGGTATGCCTGGTGCCAGTGGTTATACCTACCTTACGTTAGGTAAGATAAGGTGAGGTAAGGTAAGGTAGGCACTCCGAACTGTAGGTATATTTGTACCTTACGTCCCTACCTAGGTAAGGTACCTACCTAGGTAGTATGTTCAGGAAGGCATTGAGGGCACCTTACCTAATGTGCCCTGGGCGCCTGAATTGGCGGGGGAAGAAGCCGCCGTTGGTTCTTTCCGGGCGGTCCCAGCAGGATGGCTCTGACTTTTGGTTGGTCCCAACAGGAAGGAAGGTGTGTAAGCCTCCCGGCGATCCGCACAAGGACCTTCTTGTCTTTCTTTCCTTGGACGCCAACCAAAACGCTCGAGGCACCATGGCACCTGCCACCCACACGCCAACCCCTGGTCAATAAGATCAGAGGTGCTATGAGGAAGGAATGACCGTTGCTGCACTACTATGTACGCAGTACGGAGCGAGGTACTTACTTTTGCATCGGCAACCCAGAAACAGTGTCTTTTCTTCTCCAACTTCTGGTGTTGGCACCTTGAGCCCGACACGGCGAGTTCGCATTTGTACCCGGACCGAGTAAGAGGGGACGAAATGAAGTGACGGAGAGTTCCGGTGCTTACTGACGCCCAAACTCTGCCAGGTACTCGTCAATACCTTGGTTACTTTGGGAGTGCCCGAAGCATCGTCCCTGTTCCGTAGACTCTACGGACAGTCACCCAACTAAGGTAGAATGGAGAAAGGAGATTCTGCAGACTACGTACAGAGAGTACTAGTATCATCTGCCTCCGTTTCCGCATCCGCGTCCGCACCCGCTCTACCGTATCCTGGCCTGAGCGGAGAGCCGCAAGATCAAGGATAGATAGGTAGGTAGGTCTTGAATTTGGCAGTGTTCTTCTGCAAGGCACCTGTGAAGGCTGTGATAAACCCGGCAGAGGAGGAAATAGGACGGACCCAGCCCAGGACCCAGGGCTGCAGACCCCGGTGCCGACCTCCTTTCGTTGCGAAGGCCAGCCGTCTTGCTCTGTATCCAATCCCTGCTCCGCCTGTGGAGAGGATGGAAGGCAAGGGAAGGCAAGGGATCCCCCGGTTGCTTAGGTACCAAGTATCTCACCTTGGCTGTTGCGGCGTGCCGTTGATGTTGGCGCACGTTCCCAAGGCTGGGTACCTGGCCATATGCCTACTTGTCGCCTGGGTAGCCAATCAGACCCTTGGGTCTCTCCAGATCTCGCATTGCCGGCCACATTCGGCAGGTGGTTCTTGCAGCTGGTAGGGGTCGGGGGATACGTACTCGCCCACCTTACACTACCTTGCCTTACCTAGCAAACTCATCCTCCACTGCCTTCGTGACTTTCTACTTACCCACCCAACATCACCAGGCTTGTTGACAACCGTCACCTCAGCACTGACGTGTGTATTTTTACTTAGCATCCACTATGCCGAAACGACGCCAAAGATTCTCATATGTCGGTCGGCGATGGAAAAAGAAAGCTGCTCCTTTCAATCCCACTCGTTGCTGCCTTACTTTTGGTCCAGATTGGGCCCATGAACATGCGTACGGATACCTACTGCATGCACTGCCATACGAGTATCCATACAGGCAGAGTGCAGCTTGGAGGTTGGGCTCTAGCACTCTGCGCAGTATACCTTACTCCGTAATTACCCCGGTTTGATTTCGTCAACAAGACAAGATGCTACTCTCGCCAAGTATGGACAGAATAGGAAAACGCAACGATCACGGCTGCAAGACACTCACTCGTCCCCTCCCTGGCACTCTCACGTGCCTCACAGGCTAACCCTTACCCCGTTCTGTTCTGACTTTGCCTTGCAGATGATCCCACAGTCCGTACGGACACACCTTGTATACTGAAAACGAGAATTCAGAACGAGGCAGGGCGCGGTGTAGGAGAAACATGCAGTCCTTGGCTTTCTTGGCTACCTTCTCCCACTTTGGCTTGCTGGATACCTATCCCACTGCTTTGCGCTATCAGACGTTGCGCAAATAAGACAACAAGCTACCTCACCTTGCCTTACCTTACCTTACCTTACCTTACGCAACGGAGCATGAACGGTCATACAGGTACCGGTAGACTCTGCAGCGCCGTACCTTATGCCGGGTAATATCCGTGTCTGCAATTGCAGTTGCGCCTTGCATATGTACCTCGATTTCAAATCCTATTTGCATTCTTCATTTCCTTTTCTTCGTCTCTCGTTGCTTTTCTTGCTTCTTGTGTTTGCATTCGATTTCCTCTTGAGCCTCGGCAGCTCGGGGCACAGCCTGGGCTGCCAGCAATGAGCATCCCATCTCCGCATCGTCCGTAACTCTTCGGCCCTATCGCTCCCTGGACCCCGGAAACGCAGCAGAGCTTTAGGGTTTGCTGATACCTCAAGCTTAGCGTATCTTGCCATGGAAAACGGGCGTGTGCATTCTTGTATGGGCAGGTATGCATTTGCTTGTGCTGCTTTTCGCTCCATCCAAACCATCATGTGGGCGTTGTGAGTCCGTGACGTTTTGTGGTAGAAGCGCCAGGGCGGCTATTGGAAGCTTGCGGCGAATGCGAATGCGCGCCTCAGCACCGTCCATCGGTGAGGCACTGTCATCTGTGTAATCGGCCATCGTGCCTAAGGCCAAATGTACCTCTCCACCCGTTTCTGCTGGCAATGAACATCCCTGTCTGATTCCAGGTTTCACGACCTGGACCTCAGGTCAGGGCTAAGGAGCCAAACAGACGGCAGACGCGTCCATTTCTTCCCTCTTTTACGGTTTACCCCTCGTCTCGACCCCTCCGGAAGCTTGTCATGATTTGACATGGCTCATCCCATCATCAACGGAACATCACCGTTGTTACATGCCTTGGCGTTATACCTCGCATGTGGATGAAGCACGACCGACGACCTGAGCCTCAGCCTTGTTCTCTGGAATGAAGCCAACAGCAACACATCGGCGCAAAATGACAGATACAGCCATCCTACCCATTTCAGAACCAAGTCAAAGGTGACTGACTGGTTGCCTGTGCCTAATAGTCCGTTCACACTCTGACCAGTGACGCGGACAATACGCTCCGCCCCTGACAGCCGCTGGTCCCCTTGCCTAGGCAAAGCTTGGCTTAAAGGACAAGGGTCTGGTGTTTGGTTCGAAGCTTATGTGCTACGGTCGATGGCTAGCACACGTTGTGAGGATCTCCCGTATATCTCGTCTCTTGTTCGTTCTATTGACCTGATCGAGCCCTCGCGGCCCATTCACTTTGAATAAGGGCTGGATATCTGCCGTAGCAAGCGTGGCTGAGAGTGAGCGGGGTCCTCTCGCGCTGAAGCCGGGGCATTGAAGCTACTATTCCCGGAGACAGAGCAATGAACTGTGCGTAGTCATCGCCTTCGCCGTCTGGAGTCTAGTACACAAGGTACTTCATGATGCAGGCAACATCGGTCCACGGGCAATGCGGGTGGGGTCAGAAACTGACCTTTCCACTTTCAACCTTGGTTCTCTCAGCGTCTTTCTGATGGGAGTTCCTAAGCTAAGGCATTACCTACCTACTCCACGGTCTAGGTGCTACCTGCGGATAGGGATACTTTAGCTTAGTAACCGTCTTGCCCCAAGACGTTTACCTACCTCAGGTTACTGCCACCACCACTTTGCAGTTCTGGACCGTCTTTGAGTGCCGGTTTGCGTTGGTCTGGCTGTCCAGTAAATAGTGTCCCGTGCCTTTGTTGACCACAAGTAGTAGTCATGACACAGAGGTGCAAAGCCTGCTGCAGAAACAGAGACTGGAGATGGTCGAGATCCCATGATTCGTATATCAAATTCTGCCGTGCCACCGTGTCTGATCATGGAGACGATTCATCGACTGCTGTGCTGTGGCTCTGCTCTGGGAACAGCGATACGTAGCTGAGCCATGAGGTCAATCCCCGACAAGACGACGCGATGATGCATCCGTGACCGCCGCCTGAAAACAGCGTTGCAATTGCCGTGCACACTAAGTGCCATCTCGATGCTCCGAGGGACTCTGATGGACACAATATTCGACGATGCTCTTTCCGGCGCGATAGGCAAACAAGGCAAATCCAGTCCGGCGCACTACTAGCGCCAAATCCGTACGGATACGCCCGTTTTGAAGAGATATGTAGCGCAGTGTTCGAAACAGGGGTACGTGCCCATCTCGACTCGGGACAAGTTGAACACTGGCGGATGCGGGGGAAGGAAGGGTTCTGGGGTCCTGGGTCTTGACTCCCGATTCTCGACTCTCGACTCTCGAGGCGGGCACAAAGTGAGTCGCAACGTACATTTCACAACCTATGGGAAGGTAGGTAAAGTACCCATCTCCTGATACCCTAAGGTCGGTACGAGTCGAAACGTAATGTACCTTAAGGTAGGTGCACAATTCCTGTGCGAACACGGATACGTATCGCACATTTACACATCATTATGAGCTTACTTACCTAAGCCGCGGCATCAGAGGACAGGACAGGCCAGGCACGCAGGCCTAGGGACGGACGGGAGACCAAGACGTAATTCAAAGAGTCTCAGAGCTAGAGACCGATACCTGCCCTATCCGCTCTCCATGACAAGTACCTACCTCGTAGCTTCGTAGCACAAACCGTGAAGCTTGGCTCACTCGGCGACCCTGAAGTGCCTGGCCGGTTGATGTTGACGTTGACGTTTGACATTGACGTTGACGTCTGGCCGAACGCTTTGGTGTCCCTTTGGTCGGACCGTTTTCCTCAACCTATCTCTGTTTCTGTCTCTATGTCTCTCTGTGTCTCTTACACACACTCACATACGCACACCCTCACCCTCACCCTCACCCCTATCAATAACTCGTGCTCTACCACCCGGAAAGGCTCCCCTGCGGTGTCGTCCGAGAAGAGCAAAGAATCATTTGCAATTGTGCAACGGCGCCATGCCCATTGTAGCGGCACGCCATCCCTATTCGTGCTCCTGACAAAAACTACCAGGCCAATAAGGTGCCGGATGAGACCTGCCAGCCCGTGACAGACCAAAACCCGCCCCGACGTCTGATTCATGCACTCCCGTCACTCCTCTCCATCCACGCACGACTGGCCCAGACATGGAACTCAACCACGACTTTTCGTACCCGTAGTTTACTTTGCGTACGGATACCTACCTACGGATATACGATGCCGATAACCCACCTGGACGTCAACCTTTGCAACAGTACCTGGCCCGCTTTCGCCTCTTTTTGGGGCCCATCTTCGGGGCATACAGCGGCACCGGCCCCCGATTTTTCTATCTTGTTCTTCTGATACTGCATTTGCGGTACTATTTTCTCTACGGTGCCTGTCCGCAGACTTCAAGTAGGTGAATAGATGCCAAAGTTGACGCATGATGGGCAGAGCATGGCAGCAACCCTTACAGGGCACCAGAGAGCTATTAGAGATCGGATTGTTTTGATCAACCACCCAGCCCCACCAAAACCGGTCTTTCGTCCCGAGGTATCCATTCCATCCCTCCACCGACATTCCTGTTCACGGTCAGACCCGTCCTTTGGCCTCCCTGAATTGCAAATCTGCTTACGCTTGATTCTAGAAAGTTGTTGATGCATTCAAACGCACACTGGCCAGAGTACGGCACGCCAGTCAACGGCCATGATGAAGACCGAGAGACAGATTGACGACGTGAATATCGGGTGTGTCCTACCATACCTCTTCTCCTTAGGCTTACGCATCCCCCACCAATAGGGTTGGCCCCTCATCGTTGCCACCTCTTACACCATACCCGGCCTGATCGCCGGTCCGCCCACCAACTGGTCGCATTCCACTGATTACCCATCCCGGCCAGCTGAACACAGGCAAGGGCCTCCCGAGACGATGAATGGGCAGACGATGAGTGTATTAATGGCATGGCTGTTGTTTCCGTCAAAATTTACACTCATGAGTACGATCTTGTGTGTGCAGCGTAATGCAGCCGTTTCCAGCGAGGCCGGGCCTGATACACTCCGATCTCATCTCGGCCAGTCCATCCGTCTATCGTTCCTTGGTAAGACCGAAGGCGGACTGGGTCAGGAACGTGAACGGGAGCGGCAAAAGTCCATAGGGGTACCGAGCAGGGTTCGCCGAAGAACGTCTGCGGCGTCGGCGTGGGACAGGTACGCTTCATACTGCGTAGAGTACCGTGTCGACTCGCATCCGCATCGCACAACGCAAGCAAGCTGGGTACAGACATTGCAACTCCAGAAAGCTTACAGATTCTGCACCAGTGCGCGCCGCCGCAACCTTGACCAACCGTACATGCAGAGTCTGTGCATCGTGCGACTCGCACTCGGTCGGCTTGTTGAGCTGGATCATTGTGAGATATGCAGCTCAACAACCAAGTCAATCGAATCCATCAGTTGAAAGCAAGTCGAGTCCGACGATTCCACAATTTGAGAAAATTAAGACTGAGTGGAAAAAAAGAGAGTACACGCTTGCAGGGAAAAGTCTAATCATGAATCAAAGGATCAGTTCAAGATGAACAGATGTCAGCCTCCTGGGCGTATCGCTCGTGCTTCCGTCGTCTGTGCCCACCTCAAGAGCAGTGTCAAGGTGCGTTGACCTTCGTCTCTCCAACGAAGGCAAGTGAACAGTGTCAGACACATACGTGACATTCCGTCAGATGAATGAAGCAGGACCACCGAGCCGACGACGATCCCTGAGCAGTTGAGGTTATCCGAATGCGCCTGGCAAAGTTCGTCGGACACCAATCTCTCAACTCGGACCCGCCCAGATTGCCCCTCAATGGTCAGTCTTAGTCCAAGCACATACAGGCGAGATGGTGTAAGGTAAGGTGAGGGCAGGTGAGGGCAGGTGAGGACCTCTGAGATTACGGTATGAGCAACCATGATTATCCGTTGACCAGATGCCACCAATGCTAGAGCTAGAAGCCAGGAACGAGTCGGGGAGACGAATCAGCTGTGCCTAGCCCGTTCCGAATGCGCCTGCATGTGCCGTTTCTTGGGTACCTCTTGGATAGGCAAGAAACAGTTGGACCTTCACGATCGGGAACCCTCGTCGTTCTTACTATGCCCCATCCGTCCATTCAGCAGCGGCCGGTTCCAACAGCGGGCCACAGCCTGATCATATCCTAGCATCATCCTGGCCTCAGATCACAGAGCATCCTGTCCCGCTGGGTCCATGGCGTTGGCTTAGTTCTGGACTGTGGCTTGAGCCGGGGCCGCTTCGAGAGCCAGGGACAGGCCCCAATCCCACAAGAAGAACAAGGGTTATCACCAGCAGCGAAGCTGGAGCCGGGATAGGGATGGTCGACAGGGACTAGGGCGGTACGACAAGCAGTACAAGGGCAAGGGCGTGTGTCTCGAAAGGAGATAACCGCAAGTCAGGCTTGTCAATTGAAAGAAGTCTTTCCCGTCGCCTGGGTCTGGTCGTGGCACCAGCTTCGGCCGTGGTTCATAGGTTCCCTCCCGCGGTCACACTCTGTCATCCATGTGCAGTAAGTAGATAGTGTCGAGTGACCTTTGGACCAATAATAGGATCAAGTTCATACCACGATTGTGAAGTGATGCGGAATGATAGCTTGGGCTCGAGAAGACACCACTTGAAGTTATCTCGAGCCGGGGAGGAAAGTAAACAGAAAGAAAGGCAAGAGGGAAAGAGGAGGAAACGGGCAGTTGAGGCTCGTTGGTGATACCTACCTTCCTAGTGATGGTGGCGGTGGTGAGAGGTACCTCCGAATCCTACCTAAACTGAGTGCGTAGGTAAGGTATGTCGAGGACGGATGGCTCATCCTGTTGGATGAGTACAAAGCAAGTGACAAGCGGCCCCGTTCCGTACCGCGATTTCAGGTGATCTCCCACGCTACCAGTTTTTCTTCCCACTCACCTCACTGGCTGGAGAGAGCGACTCGGGCCTGGATCTAGGCCTTTCTCCTACCAAGGCTTCCATACTCCGTACCAGACCTCGAGGTACCGCAAGAAATGTACTTGTCTCTTCCATTGCTCAAAGGCGACGACAGCGACAACGATAACTACACTACGACGACGGATACAGCTAATGTCGACCTGAGCATTGGCACTGGCTCTGGCACTCTCCGTCTCTTTCCTTCTTCTTCTCCTTCTCTTTCTCTTCGTTCTCACATCTCTTGCGATTGCCAGCCCACGCCCACGCCCACGCCCATGCCCTCACCCATCCCCGCACCTCCAGTTCCCGATCTTAGAGGAAGATGTACTTTGCACGAGAACCTCGCATGCCTTTTCTAGCTTTGTAGCTCCCTTTTGTTAGGTTCACCCCAAAAGTCCGTCCTCTGACTCCCAAGCTTAGACAGGGAAGGCGGCTCGCCCTTTCCCAGCTTCTTCGGGTCGTGCTCTTCTACATTCTGGACCTCTGCCTCCCGGAGCTGTCCCATGGGCCACCGAGTACCGCTTGCTGCCGCTACCGCTGCCGCTGCCGCTGCCGCTGCCGCTGCCGCTGATGTTGGCACTTGCCCATGGTACGAAGTACCTTCTCTCGCGGACATGGGCTGGCTTCCAATCCGGACTAGGTGGGCGTGGGCTAAGTAAGGTAGGCGTGGGTGTAGGTCTGGGCGTGGAATGAGTGTGAGCGTGGGACATGGGGCGTGTGCCGGGGGATTTTCACGAACCGTCGCTCCACTTACCATCATCACCCATCACCCGTCTCTTCTGCTTCTGCGTCTGCGTCTGCTCTGATCCTGATCCTGATTTTGATCTACTCGTCTGGACTGGGGCAAGTTCCTTTCATCTACGACACCCCCGTTCTAATTCTCCCACCCTCTAACCAGGTTCGACCCAAACCTTATCCTTTCTTATTCTTTCGTCGTCGTCCCCAGGCCCTCCAATTTTATTCTTGTAGTCGGTCACATACGCAGTAGTCGTGCCTACCTACCTACACACCTCCTTCTGAACGCACAGCCTTTCCAACCTGAACGCTTCTGCTTTTGGCTCGGTTTCTCCACCACGCTGCTTCCACCTGCTCAACAACATATATACGCAGACATCCCACGCTCATCCAAGACCTCATTCAGCCTCTTCACTTCCAGCATCAACTTGCCATTAGCCTTCAACTACCACTTTACAACTATACTTCTTCTCCTCCCATATACATACACATACACATACACACACACGCACACTGATACATTATCGTCGAACTCCCTTGTACTCTGTTGATACCGATACTCACAAATCAACACTTCAGCCACTACCTCGCAAACTTTCCCACAGCCAAATATGTCTCTCGCTTCTCAAAGGAGAGGGCCTTGGTCCCAACAGGAAGACGCCTATCTCATGCAACTTGTCAACGACCAGGGCCCATTGAACTGGGTGCGCATTGCTCAAGCCCTGGGAACAAGGACACCGAAGCAATGCAGAGAACGATTCCATCAAAACCTGAAGCCCACCTTGAATCACGAGCCCATCACTCCCGAGGAGGGTGCCCAAATCGAGATTCTCGTCAACGAGATCGGCAAGAGGTGGGCAGAGATTGCAAGACGGCTTCACGGCCGCAGTGACAATGCCGTCAAGAACTGGTGGAATGGAAGCCAGAACCGCAGAAAGCGTCACGATCGTCGCAGGGCCAACCAAGGCAGCACCTCCGGCTACGACGACCGCAGATATGGTCACTCTGGTTTCCGACCCACTCTCACCATTAATTCTCATGCCGCCTCCTACCCTCACACGAGACACGGCATGTCGTCGCCTGTCTCTCCCGCCTTTTACACCCACAGCCACCCTTACTACCAATTCGAGTCGCCGCTTCCGTCGCCCAACTCTACCTCTTCGCCTGGCACAGACGGTCTTGACGGAGAGACGTCCACCATGTCCGATGCTGCCTCAAGCTACACCACTTCCCCCCAATGCCTCTCGCGGGGTACATCGCCATCTGTCCAACTGGCCCCGCTCCGCATGGACGAGAACTCGGCCCCTCGCTCGCTGCCTTCCTTTGGTAGCCTCATCAATGCTCCAACTGATAGAAAAGAAGCTGGCCACATGCGCCTGCCTTCTCTCCCATCCCACCTCCTCACAGCACCCAACTCGCCTGTGAGGAGTACGGTTCAGCAAGCCCTGCCGCCGCCATCTCCTTCATCTGCGGACAAGGACTCCAGAATGGATGTTTCCGCGCTTCTGGGCTGAGGAAACAACGAATTCGACTTTTTTTTTGTACCCCAAGGGATACAATTCCCATGTATGCCATAATGTATCACTAAAGAGTACATGGGTTCTGGAATTGCGAACCACGTCTAATGGGCGGTACGTCTGGGAATGGGACGTAAAACTTGTACCCTGGTTTTTTTGGGGTTGTTTTTATAGCTTTGATACCTGATATTCAAACCCTAGCGAGGGGATGGCGCAATTGGGAGACCTGAGAAATCAAAAAGGTCTGGCATGGGACGGCGGCAGGACGGTAGAGATTCAGGAATAGAATCTCACGCCCCTTGAATTTAGCTATACTGTCGTAAAAGGTGTATACATCACCAATAATCAAAAAGTCACGAAAACACATCTACGGCTACAAAATGCATCGTGACATGAGGGAATAGCAACATGGTTACAACTTTCAAGTTTTGTCTAGCCCAGGTACACCAACTGGGTATGGACACCTACCGAAGCACTCAAGCGGTCCTGATCAAGTCGGCAGTGCCTGGGCGAAACGAGAGGGGTCTCCCACGTTGGTTGGCAGCCACGTCAGCGACGATGAGTGGGAACCTCAAACGTCCAGGGCCAGACTTTCCATCGGTTTTTTTTTTTAAATAGTTATTCCCCGCCGCCGCTCGTTCGGCTGATATGGGCCCTCGATCAAAGTTTGTGCAACGTGGGTGCATATACATATATGGCTCAATCATAGTGACTGTATGGCGCGAGGCGCAAGGAAAACCGCAGGATCCAGGCACACAGGGTAAACATACCAAGGTAGACAGGCTTACGGGTTAATGAAAGAGTTGGTGGGTGATTAGTGAGCGTGCAAACTCACATCTGGGTTCTGCAGACATCGGATGGCTGAGATGCTCCAATTGCGGACAGGTAAGGATGGCAGAGGCTCAGGTAGCTATCAAGGGCGCTAGACAGGGACAAGAGGTACAGGTGAGGCGGAGGACAGAGCGTTCGGTCAGGGTCAACGCTCGCAGCCAAACACGAGATCGGGGATGTTCTGCTGCAGATGAGCGGGTGGGCTTTACCAGTGTCGATCATGACGAGGATTATGGCAACAGAACGGGGCAGATGGGAGGAGCGATGAGCGGCGGGGACAAAGAAAAGCGAGGGAGAAGGCGGAAGGCGGGCGGCGCGACATGGTGCGCCCGTCGTACATTGCATCGCATGGTGGATAAGGAATCTTTCGTGTACCTTCATGCATTCACACAAATAAGTCTCGAGTGTCGAATGAGTCGAGAAAGTATTGTCTACTTAACAGACAGGTACACGTCCGTTGCATATTCGTGGGCAGATGGGCGTTTGTGCTCCAATCTCATGATGGCTTCGTTCCTCAGCAAAACCTTGTATGGAGTAGACGCACGCGTTTATCTACCGCAGTAGGTACGGAGTTTGTAGGACATTTTTGGGCAACGGAACATGTGCCAAGACAGGATGATTCGGTCAATCAATCTGATGCAATACCAGATGCGGAATCGACGTGAAGATTTGGCCGCATGTAATTGGAGGGTAAGCCAGTGGGGGGTAGAGGAGGAGGGGAGAGGGGGATACCTACATAGTAAGAACACGGCCGAGAACCCTCCCTCATTCTCAATCCCTTGCTCACTGAAAAGTCAAATAAACATATCGGCCAATCTCACCACAGTTCCCCACGTATTCGTCCAGAGGAGGAGGAGAAAAGTCCAAGACGTAACAAAAACATGAGCTCGGTATCCCCTGTTTGCAAGTTAGAGTATGAAAATATACGAATCTTGAAACTTTTTTCCCTTCATCGGTCCATACGTAAGGTAGGCAGCCAAGACCCATGGACAATGCGAATTCGTACGGAGTGCCTTCCTCACAAATGTTTCCCCGAGATGCCCTGCACCTACCTTCCTGCCTACCTGATGTATCTATCTTGGCTGTGCAGGGAAGGCGAGACTCGACGAAGACGGCGTTAGGAAGGCAGGAGAGAAAAAGAGAAGGAGACGGAGACGGAGAGTAGACGGGAGGAATGGAAAGTAACAAAGTGACCTCGGCCAATGTATCTTTCCCATCTTTCCCTTCCATTTCCGTCTAGCCCCCACCACCGCCTCTCTTCCTCGAGGCCGATCCCTAAATCCGGACACCAGACGACGTCAAAGACACAGACTCGACTCGAGATGGTTAACTCAACCCGACCCGACTTACCATTGCTCTTGTGGCTTTGCCATGACAATTCTTCAAACGACGCAAGGACGAGGTGAAGAGACCCCTCTTCTCGCTTCCCGCGTACGGATACCATATCCCGTACATCATCTTGAGGAATGACGAATTGTAACCGAAAACATCCAGAGGAGAAGGAGCACAGACGTGGCCAAGGCAGCGCGACAGCGACGTCTATCAAATCAATCAAAAAGCACTCTGACAGATAGTTCGCACATCTTCACATCTGCTGCCGAGGCCCAAGGTGTATTTTCGTCTAATGTCTATTGCCTTCTGCATCGCCACCGGTCGTCGTTATCGTTGTCGTCGTCTACCCACGCATTCGCATCGCACGCACGCACCCGCGCGCGCTCCCACCAACTGTTGAGGAATTGGCGAGGCATTCGGTTGTCCATCAATAGGGGCGAGCGACAAGCACAGGAGAAGAGGGGAGGGCGGAAAACGAGGTGCCACGGTGCACCGTGATCTTCGCTGGACCCTGGTCGCCCGCCCTCGGAATGTTTGTGTCCCGTTGGCGATCCCTGGTACGGAGTACCACCAGCGGATGGCAGCAACCTGGCAGCGAATTGGCACCAAGGCCGTGCTGATGGGATCAAATAGGATCTGCGGCTCTTTTGACCCAGAAAAGTTCAACATAGCGGGGACAGCCACCCAGCCAGCCTCGTACACTCGCCCTATTCAACCCTGGGGCCTGTCACTTTATTGCGTCTCTTAAGATCTACGTAATATGTATCAGAATCTCAGCTCGCCTCGCGACCAAGCGAATCATGGCCATGTGTACGGACTGCGTGGTAAAAAAAAAAAAAAAAATTTTAAAAAAAGGAAGAGAACCTGAAGCCAAAAGAAGGAAGCCGGCCGGTACACGAGGGACCAGTCGTCTTCAAACCTGGTTGATCAAGGCACCAGCAGGCGCATACCAGATCTACGGATACCTAGGGCGAACGATCAAAGCAAACTTGGCCAACAACAACAAGCAGGGAAAACCAGCCAGTCGTTCTCCAAGCGCAGTATCCGAAAGTATTCCGGTGTCTTGCCTCAGTGACACCCACTTCGTGATTAACCACACGGGCTGTGTGAGCACGCATGGACGACGCCGAGTCCTCCATCTCAGCTCGACCAATCGTGAGCCTAGGGAAGGTGAGAGGCGTTGTCGTCCGAAGCGCCGGCGCAGCTACCAAGTCACCGTTGACCGTTTCAGACTACCGCCCAGAGAGAACCATGACGGTCACCAGTAGGGTGATGGCCTGGTCCGCGGCGACCCATATCCAGAACGTACCAGGAAGACTAGACCCAGCCATACGGGCCGTTTGCAACCACAAGAAAAAGACGTTGGATCGTTCGGCCAAGTCGACACCCGTAGCCCGACACAGCGTACATTTGAATGGAACAAAAAAAATGGCGGCCGTTCCCCTTCGTTCTACGACTGCAGATCTCGCATCGCTTTTCCTCCTTGACGTTGTCGTCATTGATTACATTCTCGGCATGCACCATCACCAGTGTCATCAAAAGTGCATCCCGGTCTGTTTACTTCATTTGAACCACAGCGATATGATTAAGAAAGAGTTGGTCAAGGGGAGATGTTTTCAAGGCCTTGACCAAGAGAAAATAAAATGAGAAGATTGAAAGTACGTGCGTATCATACGGGCGAAAGAGACCGTTGCTGTCTCCACATGACGACAGGAAAAAATGATTGTGTTCTTACACTACGGACGGATGTTGGAAACCAAAGCATACTAACCCCAGGGACATGGCAATTCTTCGCTCTCCCGAGTCCCCTGCAGGTTATGAACATTTGCGGTCCAGGGGTTCAGCAGCTGAGAGACTTCCTTGGCGAAATGATTCCACATCACATCGGAAGCCCGGCGATCATCTGCGTTACTAGGATCCAATCTAAACATGACTTCAGTGGAGGGTGTACTGGGGGGGAGGGGCGGCGGGGGGACCTAGGCGGTTCTTGGGTGCCACTGCGACGCTGTGGGAATACGGCTACCGTTGTAGTTGGTGATCATGCCCGGAGGGGTTAGACAGGTTTTGGTCGTCCATGAGAAAACGGCCACGAAAGAGAAAGGGGGGAGGTGTGAGATCAAGTGGAACTGGTCTGGCGTATACTGTGCAGTAAAGTACAGGAAAAAAAAGAGACATGGGGAGGGGGGGCACGCCTAATTTCTTGGGGAGCCTCTGGGCCAGCAGCTGGAAAAACGATGTGAGGTTGAATCTGAGATGCGATTGCATCTGGGCTGAGTTGTGGTTCTCAATGGAATAGTCCCTACGGAGTGCTCGGTATCCGTAGGAGTTGGGTTGGATCCGAACGGATACAAATGATATAGAGTAGTATTCGTAAGATAGACGACTCTGGGTCGGGACGGCTATGGAACATGTTCACCCCATGCTCTGCGCGCCGGGCCAATGGGCTCCCGTCGATCAACGGTCGGCCAGCGGCATAAGCGCAGGCGAACGGGGACAAGGGGACACAGGAGACTGGGAGCTGGGAGGTGACAAGGATGGAGCCAGCTCTCATAGCGGGAAGCCTCGCGAGCAGGGGTGAGCGAGGCCATCGCCATTTACTACGTAGAGAGCGTAAGCAGAATGCATGCGGTATACGGGGATATGCCCGCTCTCCAGTGCGGGTACGTAAGTACGGATACTCGTAGTGTATGTACGAAGATTCGATCCCCGGACAATCGAAGTCGACAAGAGACGGAGAGTGGGATTTGCAGAAGCTCTCTGTAGCATTCCCGGGTCCCCACCAACGTAGCTATCAAATATTCGCACACACTGGACACGGGAACAGACTAGGTAAT